CGCCGCTGGCTGGTCCGACTGGCAACATGAGAACGGTGGGGTCGCAACCTCCACCCCTACTTCTACTTCAACCTTATCCTCCTCCGTTTCCTCCTCCTCCTCCTCCTATTCCGCCGCCTGCTCCTCCTGCTCCTGCTCCTGCTCCTGCTGCTCCTCCTGCTGCTCCTCCTCCTCTTTCTCCTCCTCCTCCTCCTCCTCCTCCTCCTCCTCATCCTCATCCTCTTCCTCCTCCGCCTTCGCACCCAGTGCTGCGAACACATGCAAGGGCGGACCCTGTGGCGCAATCAGGACGTGTTCCGACCAGCCGCACCAGAAACATGTTGGCGCACCCAAGAAGATGATGAACACAATCCCAGACATGATCGCGTCGCAAAAAAACAGGACGGCAAGCCTTTAGCGAGCCCTGGGGGCCCTCGCTGGTCCCCGGGAGCGCCAACAACGATTCAGGATGAAAAACCGGCCCCGGGGAAAGGGTCAGGACTTCCGTGGACGTCTGGGATGGCATCGGGAATTCCCAGCGCGTCTGTTGCACCGTTCGGGCAACGGCCAACTACCCCCCGCCGTATACAAGCCACTGGCAGAAGATGTCTGGTCGGGAACTTTTGCTTGGCGTGCCGCGGCGGCGACCCCAGCGACACTCTATGTCCTGCGAGCGGGTTGCGTGTCGCTCCGCTCCGCGGACCGCGGGGCTGGGAGAGGCTCGGGACGCTGACGCTCGGGAATTAGGAAGTGGTTAGCGTGTCGCGCCAAAGCGTGGTGGGGCAGAACTGGCGGCGCGACACGCTAAGCCAAAGTTTCTAATCGTCACCATCCCCGTATGCAAGCTGCTTACAAAAGATCAAAAACCATTCAAAACCCACGGCTCCGAACTCGAAGCTGCTGCTCGCAGCATGCGGCGTGGCTCCATGTCGGGTGCTCTGCCCCTTGGCTGCCCGGCGCCCCGACTCCTACGGCATGCTCACGCCGCGGGTGACAAGGCCTCGCCACAGTTGGTCAATCTCCGCACCCAGATGGAGCTCGACCCGCTCGTCCGGTGGCGGAGGAAAGAGAATGTGGTGCCCTGCTTGCGGGGGGGAAGCAAAACATACCTTTACCCCTGCTCCCCGAACCTCTCCCGGGGTGCATTCTGATCAGCGGTGACGACGAGGGCCTCCCAGGAGGCCCGAACAGGCGAGGACGAGGGAAGGGCAGCGGTATCGATGCCTTTCGATACCTTTCCCTCCCCTCCCGAGTAAGCGCTTGCACTTTGGAATTCTCACCTGCCTTTCCAGGGAATCTGGTGGGTGCGTCGAAGCTTCGCCACGTGCTGGCCCGTTGCCGCCCATCGCCGCTTGCGTGGGTGCGTCGAGGATTCGCCACGTTCGAACTTTCGTCACCAGAGAGCAGGGTCGGTCAACATCGAATCAGTAAACCGGATCGATTCGCATTTTGCATCGGATCGGCCTGCATCGGCACGGAATCGAAATCGAATCAGATCGGCTGCGCCAAGATGCACAACATCGCCCATGAGAACATCGGGACGCACCGGATCGTCGGAATACCGCAATCGACTCGGATCGGACAGGCCAGCGCCGATATCGCATCGAATCGGATCGAACCCTGGAGTGCGAAAACTAGCTGCCTGGTGCGGGCAAGACCTGTGTCCATATCAGCTGCAACTTGGAGTTTCGGGCTCCCTTCTTTCCCCAGAAACCCGAGGCGCACCGGATGTGGATCAAATTCTGGCCTCTAACGGCTCGACGTATCTCCACATCCAGGGCGCCTCGGCCTTGTGGCGCCCCTTCCGAGGAAGTCCAAGACGCACTCGATATGAACATAAATCTTGCCCGCACCGCATCTGGGGCCCACGTGTGGGGAAGCCAAAACGCGCCGATGCCGCTACTCCCTGGACCTCTCCCGGGGTGCGTTCTGACCAGAATTTCGAGGCGAATCCAGCGGTGGCGACGAGGGCCTTCTAAGAGACCCGAAAAGGGGAAAACGAGGCAAGGGTAGCGGTATGGGACCTTTCCTCCTCCGAACGCTGGCAAGCACCTGATGCGTGGTGCTGATTGTGGCGCTGCCAGGCGGTTCGGTTACACGCAAGAGTGACCCCAGGCAAGAATGACCTCTGGTGCGCGGACTAAGTGGGCGCAAAATGGCCACATCCAAGCGCGCTATCAGCCGCTATCGCATCGCGCTCAGCGATCGGGGGGGACCCGATGATCCTGCACCAAAAGATCACTCTGGCGACGGGCCGCTCGCACCGAAGTGTCGTCGAGCGGTGCCGCGCGCGGTGCGCCCAGGAAGGGCCGATGCTCCGACCCCGGGGACGCCCCGAGCCCGGGCGGGCGGGCGGCGCCGCTGCGCAGGGGCGCCGCGGGCGCTCCCGGGGGCCCTGCGCCGGGGCCCTGCCGCCGCCCCACGCCGGTTCCCAGATCTCCGACGAGGTGCATTGTTTCAATCCGGGCGAAGCTTCTCGGGCGGGTGGTGCTGGGGGGTGGCCCAACTGGGGATTGGGCACCCGCTGGCCCCAAGAGGGGCCCTGGAAGGCACCTTCAAGGCCCTCGTCTTCCCCCCCCCCCCCCCTATTTGGGCCACCCCCCATTACCGCCCGCCCGGGCACCTCGACTTCGGCCTCCGGGGGCCGTTATCTGACACTTGGGCCATCAAAAAAACGGTTCCGGGGCGCAGAAGCTACCCCTCGGGAAGGATCGGGGCCTCAGGGGCCGCGGGCTGAAAAAAATCACATCGGAGGATGTCATGGTTCGTGGCCGAGCAGGCGGGGCCATGCGTGCGACGAAAAGAGCGGGTCTTCTGGCCATCGCTCGGACGTCCATTCCCCGTGAATTTTTCGCAGGATGGTCCAAGACGCTCCTCGATGGTCCTTGCTGAGAAAAGATGCACACGTCCGAACGATGCGAAATCTTACGCACGAAGAAGAGGCGACCTCACGCACGGCTTCCGCAGGCCGCCAGCGACGCACACCGCGTGGAGAAGAGGGCCCCCGTGCGCGGAGAGCCTGCGCGCGAATGATTGCGCAGTGGACCCTGTTTTCTGCTGTCGTTCAAATTTCCCGCCGCCCTGCTTGGCCCACGACGGGCGGCCGTATTCCCCGACGTGCTCTCGCCGTAAAGCAGATCACGGCGGGGGGGCTCTTGCACGGCTTGAACTCTGGATGCCCTCGCCGGGCCATGGGACCGTCAAACAACGGATGCGGATCAAATTCTGGCCTCTAACGGCTCGACGTATCTCCACATCCAGGGCGCCTCGCGCCTCGGCCTTGTGGCGCCCCTTCCGAGGAAGTCCAAGACGCACTCGATATGAACATAAATCTTGCCCGCATCTGGGGCCCACGTGTGGGGAAGCCAAAACGCGCCGATGCCGCTACTCCCTGGACCTCTCCCGGGGTGCGTTCTGACCAGAATTTCGAGGCGAATCCAGCGGTGGCGACGAGGGCCTTCCAGGAGGCCCTAGAAGGCGAGGTGCACGCGGAGGGGTCCTGAAACAGCAGCTGTGGTGTCAATAATCACAGGCGTTGCGGTGCAGACGGCTGCTGTGGTGCTCATCGGCGTTACTGTGTGTAAAAAGGTGTTCTCCTGGGGCCAGAAGAACAAGTATTCACAATCAACTCAGATATTCAATTTGATACGTTCGGGCCCCCGACGATTTTCCGGAGCTTGGCCCCGTCGGTATTGCCTTCAGGCGTACAAGAAGTTTGCGGTGTGCGCAGGCGCTGTGGTGAACAGAGGGTGCTGAAACAACCTGTGGTGCACGGAGGCGCCGTGCTGTGCACAGATCGCGCGATGTACAAAGGCGTCGTGGTGCACTCGGTTGTCATGGTGTACGCAGTCGCGGTGGTGCACACACACACACACACGATTTCTGTAGCAGCCCTGGTACACAAACGCATTGTACAAAGCCCGTGCTGTGTGCACAAGCGTTGTGGGCTTGGGCGGCGACGACGACGACGACGACGACGACGACGACGACGACGACGTAGGCGGCGCGCCTCACGGGGTGCGCGCCGCGGCCCCAGTTACCGTTACCCCCCCCACGACCCCACCCCCCGGTAACATGTGTTATCCCCCGCAAACTAAAAAATGGTCTCAAAGTAACTCACGAAAGCTTTTGGTCGTCCCCATGGCGCCCAATAGCGTGAAGAATCGCGCGCAAATCGGCCATACAGCATCTCCCTCACACAGCGTTGTTGGGCGAGACTGGTCGCTGGTTAGCACTATTTGGGCTGTTTTGCGCCACTGGGCGCTATGTGGCGCTGTTGAATGCTGTTGGGCGCTATCCGCGACATACATTCCATCCAAGACGAATGGAATATTCCGTGATGTGCGATCGCGCTATTGGGAGATGTTCGCTATTGGGCGCTATTGGACGCTATTGCTCGCTGCTCGGCGCTAGCTGGGCGCTTTTCGGCGCAACTGGTCACTCTTTCGTGTGATTCGCCGACATGCACTCCATCCAAGACGACTGGCAGCTTCCGTGATTGTGACTTACTATCTAAGACCCCCCCCTGTCTGACGTCGACGCGCCCGCGCCCCGCAGGCTCGCGTGCGCCCCTGGGCGCCAGCGGCGGGCCTGGCCCCGAAGCCCTGGGAAGCCCGAGCGGGGAGCTGGCCCAGGGACGCCTGGAGGAGGAGGAGAGGGGGAAGGAGGGAGAGCAGCGAGCGCATGAGGCGACGCGCCTAGTCGAGACAGTGGACGGGCGAGAGCGAATGGAAAAGGTGAGACCGCACAATCGCGCACATGACCAAGGTGAGGCGACACGCGAAGGAGGGGGAGGGGGAGGAGGAGGATCGAGATCGAGGGGGGGAGGAGGAGGAGGAGGAGGAGGAGGAGGAGGAGGAGGAGGAGGAGGAGGAGGAGGAGGAGCGACCGACGGGCCTGCCATTCAAGCTGGAACCATGGAAGCCACTACAACTAGAAAAGAAGCTGGCGGTCAATCACCTAATGCCAGCACGTGCCTTCCAGATCCGAAAAGGAAAATGCAAAACGTCTGGTGGAGCGCATCAACGGATGCGCTCGGTGTACGCGTAGCAGAAAGGGCTCTCGTGAGCCGCACACATGGCAAAGAGGCCGCTCTGGAGCACCAAGTCATCCAGGCCGACGGCCTGGGGGCAACTCTGCCTCACCCGGACGTCGAAGGGCTCCTCCCAGTTGCAGTGCGAGGACCTACCGTAAGTCTCTGGGCCCTTCGGACAGGGAAGATCGTAGTAGAGCGGATCCCTCGCGCGCATGTCGCTGTGGATGCCATCGCACTGGAGCCCCCTGTACCGGTTCGTCAACTGCCAACGCTTCGTCATCGGAATCTCGACACCTCCTGCTAAGAACGCCTTCTCACTCTTGTACTGATTTGAGCCGATTTCGCCGCGGACCTTCCTCTGAGCGATTGCGGTGTACGTGATGGGGATGCCAGTGCGCGAGTCGGTACCCAAGTCCTTTGCAGTTGTCGCGGCCATCAGGGCATCGTCAATGTAGGTTGGCGAGTCCCAGACCATCTTTACCCCCAAGGCAATGAGCTTGTCAATTGTGTTGCGCAGGACACTCGTTCTGCCAGATCCTGAGATTGAGTTCGAGCCGATCCACACCACTACAGCGTCACCCTTGGCTGGCTCGACTCCGAGCAGCTCAATCTCGTTCTGAATCTCTTGAAGAGGGATCTCCCTATCGAGCCAGGCATCCCAGAAGATGAACGACGCGATGCCGTCCTCCTTGCACCCTGTGGGCAACGGGCCGTCTGGCGCCTGGTCGGTGCGCGCGTGGAAGCGGCCACTGCTGGCCCTGACGCGCTTGCCAGCCTTCATCGACGCAAGCAAGTCCTCGTGGTCCCTGGTGGTGTTGCGCCACCAGATCTCAGGGCAGCCGTTGAGGCGGTGGAGCGCGTTGCGGAGCGCCATCATCTGGGAGTCGCCGACAAAGATGTGCTTCGTCCTGCTCTGGCGGCCAACCTGCATGCAGTTCGACTGGAGCATGGCCTCCTGGGGGCCGCTCACCTGCAGGGCGTCGTCGGCGTACCCCAGCGCCTCGAGCTTCTCGAAGTACACGCCCACGTCCCACTTGGCGGCCTGCATCATCTTGAACACCGGGATCGGGAACCCCTTCGCCCCGATGTCCAGGCAGTAGGACTCCGAGAAGGCACTCGCCGCGAACTCCCCCGCCTCGGCCACCCCCTCCACCATGCCGAGCTCCTCGGGCGTCTGGCGCGCGCTGGCCCTCGCGCCAATGCCCTGCAACGTCTCGGCCATGCTGCCTGTCCTGCCAGCCACGGACACGGCAGATGCACCAGTGACCCACGAGGCCGCCAGCAGGGGGCGCCGGAGCGCCGCCATATCCCTTCCAGGGGCAGAGGCTGCAGCCACGGATGCTCTCGTGGGCGGAGATGGAAACGTGTCCAGTAAGCCCGAGGCTGCCTGGGCCAGAGCTACGAGGCGGCGGAACCGCACGAGACTTCGGGAGCGACAGGGCCGCGTGCCCCGAGAGGGGCCCGGGAGGCCTCCTGTCGCCCGAGCGCGGCCCGCTGAGGCCTGGGGAGCTGGCAGCGGCCAGCCGCGACCGTGTTCCCCAGCACGCATGCGTCAGACAGCTCCAAGTACCCTCGGAGCCTCCCAAGGTTAGCGAGCCCCACAGCCTGAAAATCAATCGGGAATCGAGACCCAACAGAGCCCCCAGAGGCCTTCTCTGATCGATGGCCACCAAGATGGCCCCGAGAGGGCCCCCAGGGAAGCCCCAACAGAGCCGCAAGAGGGCCCCCAAAGAGCCTCAACGGCCTCCAAGATGCCCCCAAGAGAGTTCAATATGGCCCAAGCACGAGATGCAGCACCCCGCAGTTGCGGATAAGAACGAAGGGGGCCAGCGCGGGGTGAATCGCGGGCGGGTCGCGGGCGGGTCGCGGGTGGGTCGCGGGAGAGTGGCGGGCGTGTCGCGGGTGGGTCGCGGGCCGAGTCGCGAGAGGGACGACGACAACGACGCAACGCAGCGCAACGCAAAGCAATCCGCATCGCGGAACCCAACTGGAGCCCAGGCACCCAGGGACAGTGAATGACCGTTCGGCCCCCCAACTCTGAATTTGGGAGAAAAATATATGCCCACCCTGCATACCGTGGTCGCCAGACCCCACAGGATGCCGAGCGTGCCCGATTGTTCCGCCTCGCGCCCTCGACGAATGGCGACACCATGGCGCGGTCGCAAGACCCCACGGGATCTCTAGTGTCCCTGAATGTCCCTCCTCGTGTCTTCGACGAATGACGACACACTGCATACCAGTCTGCCCCGAGACTGAAGCGTCACGGCGTCACGCCGTCCAATCGTCACGACGCATTTCCAAAGAAACATGTAACGTTGACACAATGAACGCACAGCAATAACTGACACCTAGCTTATAACAAGCTTAATATAACTCTTGTAGTGACAGATCGAACACATACGATAACTGCACATGCGACTACTTCACATTGTCCCAACTTAATATAACAAACTATAACATAACATGGTATACTACCATGGCCTGGCCATATCATAACACCGCACATAATGCCATGCCATACCAGAGCATATCATACCATGTCTTGGCATAGCAGCTCCAACCACCACATACCATCACTCACTATATCGCAGCGTGGCAAGCCAATTCATGAGATGACAGAGCTCATCATACCATACCGTACCATAACACAAATGGCATTACATACTTGGTCTACGACTGTTGTCACTACGCCACCGAAAGCAATATAGCACCAACATGTGTACCAGCATTGAGATGTATTAGCAGGGCATGCCATAGCATATAACAAGATAACACAGTGAACGAGTGATACTGTAGCAGCCCTTAACATATGGAACCATAACGTGGGATACCAGTACATAGCGCAGCAGGGCATACTCCATCATGGCGCAACATAGCATACCACACCATACTCATCATATTGTAACAGAGCGGGCAAACTATGTGGTGCAAACTATGTGGTACAAGCTATGTGGTGCAAGCTTCGTGGTGCAGTCTACGTGGTGCATGTGCCTACCCTGCACCGCGCTTGACCACCTCCACTGCTCGCGCAAACATCCCACCCACCCACCCGCAACTTGGTCTGCAACATCTCTTAAGACCGTGACGGTGGGTACCAAATGGCACTTGGCAACGACAGCGACACCGACGACGACAGCGACAACGACGACGACGACGCCGCCGACAACGACTACGACGACACCGACGACGTCTCCAACGACTTCGGCGACGCCGACAACGACGACGACGACGACACGACGACGACGACGACGCCGACGCCGACGCCGACAACGACGACGACGATGACAACGACGACGACGATGACGACGCCGACCACGACGACGACGACACCGACGACGACGACGACGATGTCAACGACGCCGACGACGACGACGGAAACGACGACGGCGGCGACGACGACGACGCCGACGCCGACGACGACGAAGACGACGACGACGCCGACGCCGACGACGACGACGAAGACGACGACGACGTCGCCAACGAAGACGACGACGAGGGAGGAGGAGACGACGACGGCGACAACGACGACAACGACGACAACGACGACGGCGACAACGACGACAACGACGACAACGACGAGGGAGGAGGGAGGACAGCGACGACGCGAACGACGAAGAAGGAGGAAGGACGGTGACGCCGACGACGACAACGACGAGGGAGGAGGGAAGACGACGACGACAACGACGACGACGACGACGGCGGCGACGAAATAGGAGGGACGACGACGAGACGCCGAGGACGGATGACGACGACGACGAGGGAGAAGGAGGAAGGACGACCACGGCGACAACGACGACGGAAAAGACCACGACGCCAAAGAGGACGACGACGACGAACACGAGGAAAGACAGAGGACGACGTAGGCGACGACGACGACGTCGACGCGGGAGGAGGGAGGACGGCGACGACGACTACGACGACGACGACGACGACGACGACGACGCAAGAGCGCGCGCGCACGCTTTTGTTGAAAATCCGTGTTGCGAAGCCTTGTGTTTTTGTAGATTTTTGAGACACACAATTTTGGAATCCTTCCGAAGCCGATGGTTTTTGAGGGATTTCGGCATACGCGCGCGACGACGCGCGCGTTTGCACTTCGTCCCTTTTTTGCAGCATATGCTCGCGACGGCACACGCGCAAGGGCGTTCGACAGATTTCGACATGCGCGCGCGCGAAGCCCGTTTGGTAGCATGTTGTGGAAATCTTGAAAAACCCATAGTTTTCTACAGATTTCGCAAGAGCTCGCGCGTAAGCTTTTTTAGCAAATCAGTGTTGCGAAACCCTGTCTTGTTGTATGTTTTTTGGGAAACTCGATTGCGAAATCCTTCCGATACCGGAGGTTGTTGGAGGATTTCGGCATGCGCGCGCGACGGCGCGCGCGCGTGCACTTCGTCCCATTGTTTGCAAGGGATTCGTGGAAAAGTCTTATGTTAGAACAACAGATGTTCCCGCGCATCGTTTTTTACAAGGGGACCTCAAGGGGGCCGATACCGGTTCCCCTGGGATAGTGTGTACAAGTGGCACGTGTGTGCCCAGGCTCATACAAAAAAACTGAATGGGCGTTTGAAGCAGGAGTGAAATGCAGCAGCGAAGTCGCACTCGAGCGCCAGTGGGGTTGCCACACCTTGCGATGTGTGTACCAGGGCCCCCCCAGAAAGCCTCAGGAGGCCCGACTTAGATACCAGAAGAGGCTCCAGGAGGCCCCAGGATTGTGAGTGTTGTGTGTGTGTGTGTGTGTGTGTGATGTGTGTGCTCTGTGTTGCGCGTGCTTTTTTGTGCCAGGTCGTGTGTATGTGTTATGTTTGTCTAGCGTGTGATGTGTTGGGCGTGATTTGTATCTCTGTGTGTGCATGTAGTCCTGAGGCCCCAGGAGGCCCCAGGAGGCCCCAGGCGGCCTCAGGAGGCCCCAGGAGACACCAGGAGGCTTCAGGAGGCCCCAAGAGGCTCCAGGAGGCCGCAGGAGGCCCCAGGAGGTTTCAGGAGACCCCCAGAAGGCTCCGAGGCGGGGTCTGGGGTACTAGAAGATTCAGAAAGCCCCAGGAGGCCCCAGGAGGTTCCAGGAGGCCCCCAGGAGGCTCCAAGGCGGGGTCTGGGGTACCAGAGGGTACGTCGGGGCTCGATTTTGGGAGGATGTTTCAGGCGAAACCGCCATTCTCTGAGAATCGGGGTCAACTTTATTGAACTTACCATGTGTTGTTGAAGGTTTTATGTTAAACTGTTGAAATTCCCTTGTGTTTTTGGACCCTGACGTCACGATCTGCGTGAGGGGTGCCACCGGTTTTCAGAATTTCGAGGATGTCCCTAGCCTAACGGCTAGAAAAATCGCGGACGCGGCGCCTCGCGTATGCATTAATCGCCTCTGAGCTCTACTCCCTCGGAGAGGTGCGTATGAGAAGTCATATTTAGGGTGGACATGTGGTCATAATCATATTTGATTTACATACCCGAAAGGGGGGCGATCACGCCAGGGGGGTAGGGTCTATTATTTTTTCCCCACATCCAAAGTGGGGTTCTTGTTTTCTCTGCACACCCCGCGCAGGAACACTCACCCCACCCCCTCTCCTCTTCTCTTCGCGCACTCACTCACTCACTCACTCACTCACCATCATCACCACTCACTCACACTCACACTCACTCACACTCTCATCATCAACATCAGCATCATCACTCGCGCTCTCTCACTCGCTCAGTCACTCACATACTCATCATCATCATCATCATCATCATCATCATCATCATCATCATCATCAACTTCATCATCGTCATCATCATCATCACTCGCACTCTGTCACACGCTCACTCATTCACATACTCACCTGGAGGAAGTCTCAGGCGGGAGTTCGTCTGTGAGTGAATTGTGAGGAAGTCTCAGGCGGGAGTTCGTCTGTCTATGGGGCCCGCAGATCATGTTGGTAATCCGACCGGGTCATCCAAACCCTGTAACTGTCGTCACTTGTGGGCTCCTCAAGCTTGAGTACGGAAGAAGTCTCAGGCGGGAGCCTCGTCTGTGAGTGAATTGCGAGGAAGTCACAGGCGGGAACCCCTCCCTATGGGACCCGCGCTTCATGTTGGTAACCCGAGCGGGTCATCCAAACCCTGTAACTGTCGTCACTTTTGGGCTCTTCAGGCCTGAATTTGGAGGAAGTCTCAGGCGGGAGCCTCGTCTGTGAGTGAATTGTGAGGAAGTCTCAGGCGGGAGCCCCCTCCCTATGGGGCCCGCAGATCATGTTGGTAATCCGAGCGGTCATCCAAACCCTGTAACTGTCGTCACTTTTGGGCTCTCGCGCTGCCAGAACGCCACTCCCGGGCCACATTGTGCATGCCCGGAGCCAACTGTAGGCCACTTCGTGTTCTTCGTGTTCCCAGAACACGATTCCCGGGCCATATTTTGAAACCCCGGAACCAACTGAAGGCCACTTCGTGTTCTTCCTGTTCCCAGAACACCATTCCCGGGCCACATTCTGGATGTCCGGAGCCAACTGTAGGCCACTTTGTGTTCGTCGTGTTCCCAGAGCGTCATTCCCGGGCGACATTTGTGAATTTCGAATCCGAGGAGGTTCCTCGGAATTCGTATGCCTGTCGTCACTTGTTGGTCCCCGCGGCCTGAATATGGCTGTCATGGGCCTGCTTGCTCCAGAGGGCGACTGAGGAGCTGACGACGGACGTCTCGGCTTGGTCCTACGTCCGTGTGAAGCCCACCGGCAGCATTGGCCTCCTGACGGACGTGAACGAGCGCCTGGACGACGACGAGTCGTACAGGTACGCGGATCCGCCGACGGTGGAGATCCAGCACGCCATCAAGGTCTTCTCTCAGATCCCCTGCGTCTTCGAGCTGAAGGGCACGAAGCGCTTCGAGCCTGGGGACCCGCTGATCACGCTCTTGGGCTGCATGCGCGAGGGCAAGCCCTTCCCACCGGAGGTCTGGTCCGCCTGGGAGAAGACGCTGGCCACGGACAACCGCGGCGTCCTGGACCCTCGGCACCAGCACGAGATCTTTCGGCTCGGCTACGGCATGGGCATCTATCGGGAAACGCTTGCGAGGTGGATGAACACGCGTGCTCGTCGCGACGCTCGGCGTCTGGGCGTGCCCCTCGTTTTCCTGCAGGCCGTTGACGAGTGCGTCACGATTCAGGGCGATCCCGACGCGGGTCGGCGCCTCCTGAACGTCCCGAACATGCACAAGACGGGGGACATCCACGGCGTCTTGCCGGCCCACGTCGGCATGGAGGTGCGGTTCACGGCAGCGCAGGAAGAGCTGAAGAAGAAGTTGGGGCTCGTGCAGGAGCAACGGGCCACCATCGTGTCTTTCGAGTTCCACCACGAGGACGAGCAGCGGCACGAGGAGTGCTCGGCAGGCCAGCTCTTTCGCCCCCGCTTCCTACCGCAGGGAATCTGGCTGCAGGTGCACGGCTTCAAGGAGTCTCCGATCTACCAGGAGGTCGCCGAGGTGCTGCGACAGGGCGCCGAAGACGCCGACGACGACGGCCAGGCCGAGGCGCGGGCGCGGAGTTTGCTGATGTTCAGGCCCAGCGAAAAGGAGTTCACATGGCAGAGCTCGGGGCCGCACAACGTGCGCCGCTCGGGGTTCACCCTGACCCACGCGTCCTACCTGACCTCCACGCTGTCGCAGGGCCAGACGCTGCGCAAGGGCGTCACCATCGACTGCGCGAGAGACGAGGACGCTGGCCGCACGGGCATGTATGACGAGCAGTGGTGGCTGCACCTCTACGTCATGCTCTCCCGCGCCACGTGCATGCGGAACATGCTGATCCTGCGGCCGCCGCCGCGGGAGTTCCTGGAGCGAGGGCCGCCAGCGTCCTTGCGGAAGGCGCTCCTGGAGTTCGACAAGAGAGCGGTTTTGTCCAGGGCGGAGGCGAAGCAGCTCGCGGCAGAGCTGGGCTTCGTGCTGCCCGCCTGAGCGCGGCTGCGCCCCGCTCGAAGCCCGCGGGGTTGTCCCAACGGCTTGGTCTTGCGCGCAAACGGCTCGCGGGGTTGTCCCGACAGCCTGGCCCGCGGGGTTGTCCCAACGGCTGCGCGACGTGGCCATCAGAGAACGCGCCTGTGCTGACCGAGGCGGCGACGGCGCCGAGGAAAACCGACATGCGCGCTCGTGCAATGGAAAGGCGAGGCGGTGGCGGGGCGCGAAAAAAACAGGAGGGCGAGGTCGGGGGCAACGTAGGGAGCGGGGGGAGGGCCCGCGCCAGGGCGAGAAGAAATATACGCAGAAGAGACACTCAGGACGCCTCACCAACCACGAGGACGACGGTGAGCGTTTTTTCCAGATTCGCCCAGAGGATTCTCATGCGGGGTCCTTCCGTCGGAATAATTTTTTGGAAAGGAGAATTCATGTTCGTTCGCAATGGGTTGTCAACTCAACTGCTCGGGCAAACATCCCGCCCACCCACTCGCAACTTGGTTTGGGAGCTATTCGCTATTGGGCGCTATTGGTCGCTATTCGGAGCTAGTTGGGCGCTTTTCGGTGCAGCTGGGCACTATTTCGCGCCATTCGCCGACATACAGTCAATCCACATGAGGAGCGAGCACATGAGGCGACGCGCCTAGTCCAGACAAGACAGGCGAGAGCGAACGGAAAAGGTAAGACCGCACAATCGCGCACATAACCAGGTGAGGCGACACACGAGAGAGGGGGTGGAGGAGGAGGAGGATCAAGATCGAGGGGAGGAGGAGGAGGAGGAGGAGGAGGAGGAGGAGGAGGAGGAGGAGGAGGAGACGAGCGACCCACGGGCCTGCCATTCAAGCAGGAACCATGGAAGCCACTAGAACTAGAAAAGAAGCTGGCGGTCAATCACCTAATGCCAGCACGTGCCTTCCAGATCCGAAAAGGAACATACAAAACGCCTGGCGGAGCGCATCAGCGGATGCGCTCGGTGTACGCGTAGCAGAAAGGGCTCTCGTGAGCCGCACACATGGCAAAGAGGCCGCTCTGGAGCACCAAGTCATCCAGGCCGACGGCCTGGGGGCAACTCTGCCTCACCTGGACGTCGAAGGGCTCCACCCAGTTGCAGTGCGAGGACCTACCGTAAGTCTCTGGGCCCTTCGGACAGGGAAGGTCGTAGTAGAGCGGATCCCTCGCGCGCATGTCGCTGTGGATGCCATCGCACTGGAGCCCCCTGTACCGGTTCGTCAACTGCCAACGTTTCGTCATCGGAATCTCGACACCTCCTGCTAAGAACACCTTCTCACTCTTGTACTGATTTGAACCGATTTCGCCGCGGACCTTCCTCTGAGCGATTGCGGTGTACGTGATGGGGATGCCAGTGCGCGAGTCGGTACCCAAGTCCTTGGCCGTTGTCGCGGTCATCAGGGCATCGTCAATGTAGGTAGGCGAGTCCCACACCATCTTTACCCCCAAGGCAATGAGCTTGTCAATTGTGTTGCGCAGGACACTCGTTCTGCCAGATCCTGAGATTGAGTTCGAGCCGATCCACACCACTACAGCGTCACCCTTGGCTGGCTCGACTCCGAGCAGCTCAATCTCGTTCTGAATCTCTTGAAGAGGGATCTCCCTATCGAGCCAGGCATCCCAGAAGATGAACGACGCGATGCCGTCCTCCTTGCACCCTGTGGGCAACGGGCCGTCTGGCGCCTGGTCGGTGCGCGCGTGGAAGCGGCCACTGCTGGCCCTGACGCGCTTGCCAGCCTTCATCGACGCAAGCAAGTCCTCACGGTCCCTGGTGGTGTTGCGCCACCAGATCTCAGGGCAGCCGTTGAGGCGGTGGAGCGCGTTGCGGAGCGCCATCATCTGGGAGTCGCCGACAAAGATGTGCTTCGTCCTGCTCTGGCGGCCCTCCTGCATGCAGTTCGACTGGAGCATGGCCTCCTGGGGGCCGCTCACCTGCAGGGCGTCGTCGGCGTACCCCAGCGCCTCGAGCTTCTCGAAATACACGCCCACGTCCCACTTGGCGGCCTGCATCATCTTGAACACCGGGATCGGGAACCCCTTCGCCCCGATGTCCAGGCAGTAGGACTCCGAGAAGGCGCTCGCCGCGAACTCCCCCGCCTCGGCCACCCCCTCCACCATGCCGAGCTCCTCGGGCGTCTGGCGCGCGCTGGCCCTCGCGCCAGTGCCCTGCAACGTCTCGGCCATGCTGCCTGTCCTGCCCGCCGCGGACAAGGCAGATGCACCAGTGACCCACGAGGCCGCCAGCAGGGGGCGCCGGAGTGCAGCCATATCCCTTCCCACGGATGCTCTCGTGGGCGGAGATGGAAACGTGTTCGGTAAGCGCGCTGCTGCCTGGGCCAGAGCTCCCTGGACCAAGATGGCCTTGAGCCAAAATGGCTGCGGAGAAGGAGGACGAGAAGGAGAAGGAGGTGGCGCACGTTATGTAGCACTCCGCAGTTGCGAATAAGAGTGAGGGGACTGGCGCGGGGTGGGTCGCGGGTGGGTCGCGGGCGGGTCGCGGGCGGGTCGCGGGAGGGTCGCGGGTGGGTTGCGGGCGGGTTGCGGGTGGGTCGCGGGCCGGGCCGCGAGAGGGACGACGACAACAACGCAACGCAACGCAACGCAACGAAAAGCAACGCAGCAACAATCCGCACCGCGGAACCCCACTTGCGCCCACACACCCAGGGACAGTGAATGACCGTTCGGTCCCCTCAGCTTTTTTTTTTGTAAACAAGGAACACCAACAACAAGTCCGCCCACCCTGCATGCCGTGGTCGCCAGACGCCACAGGATCCCGAGCGTCCCCGAGGTGTCCCGCCTCGCGTCCTCGACGAATGGCGACACCATGCCGCGGTCGCCAGACCCCACAGGATCCCTAGTGTCCCTGAATGTCCCGCCTCGCGTCCTCGACACATGGCGACACCCTGCATGCCAGACAGCCCCGAGGGACAGGCGTCACGGCGTCACGCCGTCCAATCGTCACGACGCATGTTCAAAGAAACATGAAACACTGTCACCATGAACGCACAGCAGAATGGACACAACTAGCATAACAAACTTACTATGCCATGACCACCGTATAATTGCATCGCATATTCGAATGTGAATACACGTTGCATCGTCAAAATATAGCTCGGTCGAAGCATTATGGACCATATAATCGTATATCATAACATGACATCCTACCATGACCTAGTCATATCATACCACAGCATCATATACCATACCATAACATACCATACCACATTATACCCTGGCGCAGCACATCATACCATAAAATACCATCACATACCATGTCGCAGCGTAACAAAACAACTCATACGAGGAGAGAGCGGAACATACCATATTGTACCATAGCACGCCTGACATCACATACGTGGTCCATTACTACTGCTGCCACTACGCCACCGAATACAATATAACACCACATTAGATACAACGAGTGAATCGGACGAACAGGACATACCAGAACAGAGCGTGGGATATCTTAGAGGACAGATTATACAGTAATATGCCATATCATATGGAAGTACCACATGGCGTGACAAGACATAACACAACATGGCATAACACATCGTCGCATAGCCTAACATACCTGAACACATCATGCCGTGACAGAGCGGATACGAGGTGCAAACTATGTGGTGCAATTTACTTTGCCCGTCTTGAAGCTGTCCTCTCCACTGCTCGTGCAAACATCCCACCCTCCTACCCGCAACTTGGTCGCAAGACCTCTTAAGACAAGACCGTGACGGTAGGTACCAGGTGGCACTTGGCCACGACACCGACGCCGACGACGACAGCGACAACGACGACGGCGGCGCCGCCGACACCGACGACGACGACACCGACGACGTCTCCAACGACTTCGACGACGACAGCGACCACGACGACGACGACACCGACGACGACGACGACGCCGACGACGACGACGATGACAACGACGACCGACGACGACGACGACGACGACGACAAGACACGACGACGACGACGACGACAACGACGTCGCCAACGAAGACGACGACGAGGGAGGAGGGAGGACGACGACGGCGACAACGACGACAACGACGACAACGACGAGGGAGGAGGGAGGACAGCGACGACGCGAACGACGAAGAAGGAGGAAGGACGGCGACGCCGACGACGACAACGACGAGGGAGGAGGGAAGACGACGACGACAACGACGACGACGACGACGACGGCGACGAAATAGGAGGGACGACGACGAGACGCCGACGACGGACGACGACGACGACGAGGGAGGAGGAGGAAGGACGACCACGGCGACAACGACGACGGAAACGACCACGACGCCAAAGAGGACGACGACGACGAACACGAGGAAAGACACAGGACGACGTAGGCGACGACGACGACGACGCGGGAGGAGGGAGGACGGCGACGACGACGACGACGACGACGCAAGAGCGCGCGCGCACGCTTTTGTTGAACATCCGTGTTGCAAAACCTTGGGTTTTTTGTATGTTTTTTGGACACACGATTTTGAAATCCTTCCGAAACCGATGGGTTTTGAAGGATTTCGGCATACGCGCGCGACGACGCGCGCGTCTGCACTTCGTCCTATTTGTTGCAGAGGATTCTCGCGACGGCACACGCGCAAGGGCGGTCGACAGATTTCGACATGCGCGCGCGAAGCCCGTTTAATAGCATTTTGTGAAAATCTTGAAAAACCGATGGTTTCCTTAAGATTTCGCAAGAGCTCGCGCGGAAGCTTTTTCAGCAAATCAGTGTTGCGAAGCCATGTGTTTTTGTTTGTTATTTGGAAACTCGATTGCGAAATCCTTCCAGCACCGAAGGTTTTTGAAGGATTCCGGCATGCGCGCGCGACGACGCGCGCGCGTGCACTTCGTCCCATTTTTTTGCAATGGATTCGCGAAAAAGATTTATGCCAGAACACAGAATGTCACCGCATAATGTTTTTTTACAAAGGAACCTCAGGGGGGTCGATACCGGCCCCCCTGGGATAGTTTAAATTCATATTTCGGATGGACATGTGGTCAGAATCATATTTGATTTACATACCCGAAAGGGGTGTCCAATGACGCCGGGGGGAGGGGGTAGAGACGATTCTCTTTCTAGAACGGAGAATTCACTTGCCGACCTTGAAGTGGTCAACTCCACAGCTCGCGCAATCATCCCACCCACCCACCCGCAAGTTGGTTTGCAAAACCCATGCGGGAACACTTGCGATGAGTGCTGGGTGTTGGCTGGTACATCTTTGCGGCCGCGCGAGCCCGCAACGACTGCGACGACACCGACGACGTCTCCAACGACTTCGACGACGCCCACAACGACGACGACGACGACGACACCGACGACGACGACGACGCCGACGCCGACGACGACGACGATGACAACGACGACGACGGTGACGACGCCGACGACGACGACAACGACCGACGACGACGTCAACGACGCCGACGACAACGACGACGACGACGACGACGGCGGCGACGACGACGACGCCGACGTCGACGACGACGAAGACGACGACGCCGACGCCGACGACGACGAAGACGACGACGACGTCGCCAACGAAGACGACGACGAGGGAGGAGGGAGGACGACGACGGCGACAACGACGACAACGACGACAACGACGAGGGAGGAGGGAGGACAGCGACGACGCGAACGACGAAGAAGGAGGAAGGACGGCGACGCCGACGACGACAACGACGAGGGAGGAGGGAAGACGACGACGAGGACAAACGACGACGGCGACGACGACGACGGCGAGGAAATAGGAGGGACGACGACGAGACGCCGACGACGCACGACGACGACGACGAGGGCGGAGGAGGAAGGACGACCACGGCGACAACGACGACGGAAACGATCACGACGCCAAAAAGGACGACGACGACGAACACGAGGAAAGACACAGGACGACGTAGGCGACGGCGACGACGACGACGCGGGAGGAGGGAGGACGGCGACGACGACGACGACGACGCCGCAAGAGCGCGCGCGCACGCTTTTGTTGAAATTCCGTGTTGCGAAACCCTGGGTGTTTGTATGTTTTTTGGACGCGCGATTTTGAAATCCTTCCGAAACCGATGGGTTTTGAAGGATTTCGGCGTACGCGCGCGACGACGCGCGCGTCTGCACTTCGTCCTATTTTTTGCAAAAAGGATTCTCGCGACGGCACACGCGCAAGGGCGTTCGACAGATTTCGACATGCGCGCGCGCGACGCCCGTTGGTAGCATGTTGTGAAAATCTTGAAAACCAATGCTTTTCTTAAGATTTCGCAAGAGCTCGCGCGGAAGCTTTTTTAGAAGATCCGTGTTACGAAACCATATATTTTGGTTGGTTCTTGGAAGCTCGATTGCGAAATCCTTCCGGCACCGCAGGTTTTTGAAGGATTTCGGCATGCGCGCGCGACGACGCGCGCGTGTGCACTTCGTCATATTTTTTTGCAAGGGATTCGTGACAAAGTGTTCTGTTAGAACAGCAAATGTCACCGCATAGTGTTTGTTTACAAGGGAACCTCAGGGGGGGATACCGGCTGGCCTGGGACATTGTGATTTCATATATAGGATGGACATGTGGTCAGAATCATATGTGATTTACATACCCGGAAGGGGTACCGATAACGCCAGGGGGGGTAGAGTCTATTTTTTTAGAAAAGAGAATATATGCGGTGCAAGCTATGTGGTGCAGTCTATGTAGTGCACCCGCTGAAATTTTCGTTCGTAGTGAGTTGTCAACTCCACTGCTCGGGCAGTCATCCCGCCCACCCACCCAAAACTTGGCACTTGGTTTGGGAGATATTCGCTATCGTGCGCTATTGGGCGCTATTGGTCGCTATTCGGCGCTAGCTGGGCGCTTTTCAGCGCAACTAGGCAGAAGTTCGCGCTATTCGCCGACATGCGTTTAATCCAAGACGAGCGGAAGTTCCCGTGACTGTGATTTCCTATCTAAGACCCCCCCGTCTGACTTCGATGCGCCCGCGCCCCGCAGGCTCGCGTGCGACCCTGAGCGCCAACGGCGGGCCTGGCCCCGAAGCCCTGGGAAGCCCGAGCGGGGAGCTGGCCTGGGGACGCCTGGAGGAAGAGAAGAGGGGGGAGGAGGGAGAGCAGCGAGCGCATGAGGCGACGCGCCTAGTCGAGACAGAGGACGTGCGAGAGCTGTGAGAACAAGATGACCGAGAGGCGGCGGGAGGAGGGAGAGATCAGCGAGCGCGCGACGCGCCTAGTCGAGACAGAGGACGTGCGAGAGCGAATGGAAAAGGTGAGACCGCACAATCGCGCACATGACCGAGGTGAGGCGACATGCGAAGGAGGGGGGGGGGGGAGGAGGATCGAGATCGAGGCGGGGAGGAGGAGGAGGAGGCGGAGGAGGAGGAGGTGGAGGAGGAGGAGGAGGTGCAGGAGGAG